TCGCTGTGCGTACTCGAGTATCTTCCTCTACTGAAAATATCCTCAATGTGAGAGCGAAGCGAAGCGAAAACATCAAAGACTATCAGAGCGGTTGAGAGGGAACAACACTGGTAGTGTACCTCAACAAAAATCTGTCGCGCGCCACAAAATTTTTCCGATAAGTTACCCGTGACGACGAACTATTCATGCAATCCCTCGCTTGATAATTCCTCCAATGCTAATTCTGGAAATACCTCTCCATAATCAACCTAAAAATAATATCCTCATTGAGGATTCCTCAATGCTCCGACCAGGAATCGAACCCGGGACCTTTCTCCCCAGTAAGAGCTAACCACACTGCATAGCTGAGCACATCCATTTCGATCAAACACCCCTGATTAGACACCATATGCTGACGACCAAACTCCTCGTGTGAGGAGCTCCCACTTGAAACATCATAACTGACTACGTGGAAAATATAACGATGTAGAAAAAATTTCCCAGAAAATTCCATTTTTTCCGCTTTCACATCCAAAAACACTGAAAATTTTCACCAAAATTCCTACTAAAAACAAGACTTTTCTATGGAATATATTTTCCAAAGAAATGAGTTCCTTTCGAGAAATCCCATCACTCCGTTGAGACCAGATTCTACCAAATTTTTTCCGACAATTTTCACAAAATTTCTGCGAAAAATTGAGTAAATCACAGATTGATCAATTCGTAATAAATTTATTTTCGGAAATTTTATAACCAATTCTGGTATACAACATCAACAGAAAAATCATAAAATTAATTTCGATCTCCTCGAAAATATTCAATTTCTTCCCATATACCCCTAAAGAGCCCCCCACAGTATTACCCCCTGCCAAATACCCTCTGTTGCCGTCCGTGTGGTATGACCAGTGTTGGAGTATGAATATATGTAATCGCTTTCCTCAGCTGCTGAGCTCAGGAGTTTCCTATACAGTGTTGGAGTATGAATATATGTAATCGCTTTCCTCAGCTGCTGAGCTCAGGAGTTTCCTATACAGTGTTGGAGTATGAATATATGTAATCGCTTTCCTCAGCTGCTGAGCTCAGGAGTTTCCTATACAGTGTTGGAGTATGAATATATGTAATCGCTTTCCTCAGCTGCTGAGCTCAGGAGTTCCCTATACAGTGTTGGAGTATGAATATATGCAATCGCTTTCCTCAGCTGCTGAGCTCAGGAGTTTCCTATACAGTGCTGGAGTATGAATATATGTAATCGCTTTCCTCAGCTACTGAGCTCAGGAGTAACTAAACCAAATTATACGAGTTTATATACGAATTTGGGTAGAAGTGCACCGAAACCAGTGAGAAATTCCTCCAAATTTTCACATATTGTCACCAACACATGTAGTTGACCATGTGCATATTTTCTCTCACTGAGCTATCTATAATGTGTATTCATGAAATGAAATCTTCACAAACTGATACAATGCAACTAGAAATATTTCAAAATCAACTACTATAATAAGCATACCACCCCTTTGCCAATTCCCGACTATTCACTAATCTCATCAGTTCCAAATACCACTACTACTATTAGTATTTATTTTATATTTAATTGAAACCAGGTTATCATTATATCAAATTGATACTATTAAATTACAAAAATTTAAAATACTTGAATTTTATATTAAAATAAAAAAATCTATTATTAATCTAAAATTTTAAAGTAAATAAAATATTTAATTTTAAATACTATTAAACGTGTATTTCATAATAACGGAGTTTCACCACCCTAGTGATATGAAAAACACTAGTGAAAAACATATTTCACGACTACTGCATATCACCGCGAATATCGCGTTTTTCACCGAGTATTACGCCACTTCACGTAAAACGGGTGATACTCCAGTGATAAAACTTTCGAAACGAGAAAAATAAAAATGAAAAAAAGCAATATAATTACCATAATTATTTTTATGAATACCCCTCCACTGAGTAATTCAACTCATTATCGATAAAGACATAGCCAGAAATGATGAACTTGAGTAACCACAGAATTAACGATCTTCTTGAAAATGTTCATTCTACCAAGGGCTCTATACCTTGATAAGTGCCCAGTATCAGCCCGAACAGACCTAGGCAAAAACACGCTGGTAGTAGTACGTAAAATAACAATCTCTGCGATAGTGTCTTCACTGGTAACAAAGATTTGTCGCTGCTACTATCATCACGGCCTTCACCTTTTTTATTACCAATGTAAGACAACCACACAAAGAAAGTAACTGGGAAGATAATTTGTAGGAACATAACAATAGTAGAGCCGACGAGGTTGAATAACGTACCAAATCCTGGTACGAAAATTGCCAAACAGGTGCAACCTGCCAACGCCACCGTTCGACAACTCAAACGAATCACTCGCGGAAGAGGTCTCTTCGCGATGACCTCTGCATAGACTTCAGCACCCCGGCCAAGTGGTGTGAACAATACCAACAAATGTGCGGCAGAGACAACGGCGATTGCTATTTGAACTACATAGTTTACAGCGTCACCAGGGCCTGCTGAAGCCGCTACTGCATCAACGATCGATGCATAGCCCAGCATGTCAACGCCCCAACCCGCGTAACCAGCGAAACCGATGCTGCCAAATAGTACAGAAATTATGGTAAAGGCCCAGAAAGCAACTCTTGGGAATTTACGAGGGTTTTCCATTTCATCGATCAACTCAGGAATCACTGGAGCACATGTAAAACTGTTCATGAAATTTGTAAATGCCAGACCAAGACCACTTACACTGTGGGGGACTAACGAATGTACGTGAGTGTCATCACTTACTGCTTCTCGAACGCCCGCAATAATAACAAACACCGTAGCAACCACAGTAGCAGCGACACCAATCGCCGAACCACGCCGATTTGATTCATACTCGCACCACGACAGAGTGCTATGATACCCACGATATCAAAATCCACGGCACCCTACCC